TAACAGTTTTTAAAAGTTGGTAATATCAGTTGTCCTTTTGTAACGGATCTAGTTGAATGACCACTTCCAGATATATTCATCATTTGATCAAGAAGAATAAATAAATAACACTGTAATATCATTATAACTTACAGTTTTTATTAATTAAGCAATAATATAAATATAAAATAATAAAACTTTTATTTAAAGTGTAATATATTGTATTAATATGTTGTAACCACCCCCAAACAATGTTACAACTGTCCCCAGCCCTGGGGTCATTTGCAACATCTGACTTTTCATTTTCAAATGCAAACAGTGAAGAATGTACATGCTTTAATCATCTATAAATGGTTTTGACTATTAACAGACAGATGTAAGTTTATTGTATTAAAATTTGGTTTGTCTAATTCAAACCATCTCTGAGTAACAGAGTCAAATGTAAAAGGTGTTGCAACTGTCCCCAGTCTCCTACCAAAATTTCCACCTAGCTTTATATTTTGGTTCTTGATGATGTCATTTGACGTTTTGATCAGTTACTACTTGAGTTGCTTTTTCACCAACTACTTGAATCATTTTTTTTGGGGGGGATGGCTACGTTTTACTTGAGTAAAAATATGTTGAAATAATTCTTACTTGAGTACAATTTTGGGGTACTCTACCCACCTCAGCCAAGAACCTCATGGGCCCAACAGCTCCAGTGTCTGTGGAGAGAGAACGTCCTCATCTGACCTGCAACTCAGCTTGATGTCKTCYCTAAAACAGGACTCAGTTTCCAGTATGAGAAGACGAGAGAAAAACCCAAAGAGTGGAGGGTTCCAGTGTACATGTTTGTTTAAATACATTAAAGAACTTGAAATAATCCTCATAATTAAAGTCCTGATCTCAGTATTTTTGCAGCATATCTAATTTCTTATTATTTTTAGTGTTTAGGGTCTTATAAATTTACATGCTCTTCTGATTTGAAGTGGTCCAACAACAGTGGGACATCATTTCAAAAGGGTTTAAACTATTATTGCATTAAACATCTGGTTTAATGTTATGTTTTATTATAGTAGCTGAACAGCTTYAAATGCAAAACTATTTAAAGCTGTTTGAATTATTCAGAACATGCTGYACAAATGCTAATGATTTAGGATTTAATTCAAAATTACTGCAGTTTTTTTTTCTTTTTCAACTTCTTTACAGTTGGGTTTATGGTTTTCGTTAGATTTTTTTTCTTTTTTCCATAAATTTAAAAAATGTTTATATACTATATAAAACAATGAATTATATCTGTTTTATTTTAAGCACAAACTTCAAGAAAGCCTTGGTTAAAAAGCACTAAAAAATGAAGCGTTCTGATCGTGTAGTTCCTCTTTMCGAACACTAGATGTCGCTCTAACCCTACAAATGTCCTCTTCAGTTCCTGTCTGAAACAAGTGAAATCTTTTATATATTTTTATTTTTTGCTCCATGATTTATTCATGAGCTCTAAGACAGTTATATCCTCAGTGGGATGTCTGATCTTTTATTGAAATAATAAAAAAGAAGCAGTGATTTTTTTTGTTAATGTGGCTGCTGGAAAACTCAAATCTGTCTCTTCTTTTAATCTCTCTGCTTCTTCTTGTCTTTTCTTTTATCCTTTTTTTTTATTTGTCTTGTTCGGTTCTTTGTGTTCGACTCACACTGGAAACAAAGATTAGATTGACTCCATGATTTGAGTTTAATGATCTGCTTTGGGTTCAGATTCTGCTTGATTTGGCACCAAATGTTGACATTATTAATTTATTATTTAATCTCTGTNAGATTAAACTTCAGGGTGGATATAGCTCGCTAGCAGCCTCGCACCGAGGACCTATCCACGTCATCATTTACCCAGAATGCTTTGTGTGGAAATAAAATGGCCCCGTCCGTGTAATATATTTTTAAACTTTTAGTTTAAAAATGATAAAAACTAAACATCAAACAGTATTTTTACAGTCTTTATTTTACAGTTAAAATAAATGTTTATCAAATAAAGTCTAATGTTACAACTAATCGGGGATCCTTGGTGGTTTTAACACTTTTCTTCCTTCCTGTATGTGTTTGTTTTGTCTCCTCGTCCTGATGACTCTGTCCTCTGTTCTCCACCTCAGACGTCCAGAAGAAGGAGCCCGAGGAGGACTGCTCCTCCAAACCAATCCAAAGCACTGGGAGTAGCCAATCGCCCGTCTTCAGCAGCGAGACGAGCAGTAGCAGTAGCCAGTCGCTATCGTTGTCGCTGCCCTCCAGCTCGGAGCTGCCGTCGGCCGAAGAGCCCTCGCCCATGTTCTCCAGCAGGACGGAAGGTAAAACTGGACTTTTTTAATTCTGTTTTTAGAAACTGAGACCAACATCAGAACACAGATTGAACCGTTACTACTTCTTGTCTTAAATAAGTTTTGATAAAAAGCCCAGTTTGGACTTTGAAACCCTCAAACCAAAGCAGCTGAGTTTAAATGTAAAGAATCCTGCAGAGAGCAGAAAGTGTTTTATTCTCACAGATCTTCACCGTTTGATCAGCAGCACTTCCTCCTTCATGACATCATCATGACAGCTTTACGGCAGCTCGACCTTTGTCTTTAAATTACAATAAAGATCTGGGATCAGAAAAAGGTTTTTATTAATTGGGAACAACAGTAAGTCAGGTCCCTCCCACCAAAAGCTGTCTGCATTTTTATTTTTATTTTTTTCTCATCAATATAAAGCTTATAAAGCTAAAAATGTCTTGCATCTGTTTTCTGCTGACGTGTTTTTTATGTGAACACGTTTGCTGAAGTGATAAACCGACACCGGCTCTGTTTTATCATCACTCTTTAACTGTCGACTCGTTACATTTCCTCATGGTCCGTCAGTGTTCTGTAAAACATCTCTGCTCCTCTCCTCACAGAAACAGGAAGCAGCAGCGGTCAGAATACTCAGTTGTTGTGRATTTTTATTGTAAAGTGTGAAAAATATTCAGAAGAATAAGAAGTTATTRGACACATGYTCARTGTTTTGTGGTAAATTTATCGTTGAGTTTTGTGATTCCATCCTTGTTTCCACATTGCAGAAATCCATACAGTCGTGCTGAAGTCCACGAGAAAAAATCTCTCTCCAGATGTTTCTGACACTTAGTTATAATTCTAGAGTAACTTTTTTCCAGGTGTTGTTTAACTTCAAAAGCAGCCCTAAAATGGGCCATTTTTCCACCACTGAGCCACTTAAACACCTCTCATATTAATCCATGGACACCCCCCATGTTCTCTGAACCTTTGTACAAAATTAAAATTAAAAGTTTTACAAATATTTTTTCACTTGTTTTTCCTAACCAGTTTTTAATACTTTATATTCATGTTAATTAGAGTAGCATAAATATTAGTTAGCTTTAAGGTTAACTGAAAAAGTAGTGTTGTAAGAAAATAAAATGCTTACAAAGCCCACCAGTGTTATTTTTTTAACGTTATTTCACTCATATATTCATAAATGTACAATAAATAAAAACAAAATAGTTATTATATAAATATATAGAAAACATACTTTTTTCATCTTGTTTAGTTCATATTTTACCTTTTATTTAAAAACTGTTATTTTACTCATACATGTACTTCGTATATAATTGGTAAAAACAAAACAAACAAGTTAGTCTATAATTACAAATCATAAAAAACTAACGTTTTTTTGTTTCATCTTGTTTTGTTCATATTTTAACTTCTATTAAAGTTACGTAGTGGTTCCTCCATTTTTTTCAAAACCACTTTTTACTTGCCGTCCAACTCCGCCCTCAATCTGACTACGTCCAACCACGTTCCCTACAAGCCGTGACCACGCCCTTTAGATGTCCGACCCCGCCCATTCTCCGCCCCGTTCCGTGGTCCGCAGCCAAGGGTACTTGAAAGACTAAACTGTCTTGTTGAGTAATTAAAGGGGAGGGGTTTATTGTGCAAAACGTCTGAGCTTTAAATCATGTTATAATGTCATTCCCTCAACAAAAACATCCCAGAGTGTTGCTTTGACTCATTCATGCACGTTTGAGAAATCCTTCAATCACCTGTTGCCATGCGGAGCTGCCTGAACACTTTCTGGTACAAAGCTCCGCCTATTTACACAAAGCTCCTCCCTGGAGCTCAGTCTGCAGCTGAGCTCCCGCCCCACAGAGCACCCCTCCTAGAAGCTTTGTTAGTGGGAGTGTCTGAAACAGTAGGAGGTTCTTAAAGAGACAGAGCCCAATTTCAAGGTGTTTTAGATAGATTGACGACATTTAATTTTGATATTTAAGACTGAAGGTAAAATAGTTACTTGATTAGAATGGAACTATGTACCTGGAAAATACAAAACACCCCTTTTTAAAAAAAATATATAGAGTACTTTTAAAAATCAGGGTTCCCACAGGTCCTTAAAGGTGACCTAATATGGGGGTCCTAGAACAAGTTAGGATCCATCTGTGGGCTCTACAAAACATGTTCATTTGATTTAATTCACAAAATTAATCTCAGATAATGAAATTTCACATTTTCAGTTCTGCCTGTTCTTCAGCTCTATTCAGAACCTGCTGCTTTGCTATGGAAACCCCCTCCCAAACTTTTGTTTACGTTAGCTCCACCCCCGCAAGAAGTTTACTTTCAGTTTCTTTCCAGTTGAAAGTACGATTTTTTTCAAAGTAGTAGTAGTAGTAGTAGTAGTGAAATTATTTACACAAACTTTCTTTAATGTTGCTAGAACATTGCCATCAAAAATAAAATTAATCCACACATCTGTTCTCCATGACAGTTCTGAAATTACAGAACTGTCCTGTGAAGAAGTGGGCGGAGTCTCTGCTTGGGTTACCAGGAGTCGAGCTGGGCTCAGGTTGGGGTGGGCTGGAGTGCGACTTGTGACGTCACAAGTAGCGGTGTTTGAAAACAGATCATTTCAAGACACAGAAAAATACATTTACTTATAGTAAAAATACCTTTGAGTGCATTTTTTTGGTGCTTGGACTGTTTTTAGAAGCAGTACAGACCCAAATGTAAGTAAAAAGAAAACCTGAAAAAAATGAATTTTGCATATTAGGTCCCCTTTAAAAAGTCTTAATAGGCTTTGAATTTGTCAATCCAAAAAGTAAGGCCTTAATTAGTTTCTTAATGTTAACACACTAAGTAGGGCTGTGTATTTTCAAGAATTTGGCGATACGATACATATCATGACAGAGGGGTCACTATACGATATATCCCGATATATTGCGATACTGCCAACAAGGCGATATATTGCGATTTTTTTTGTCTAAAAATTCTATTAAATAAAAACCTCTTACTGGAAAAAATATGAAAAACCAAAATTC